GAGTACAATGTTTTCAGGAGATTGGAATGGGATGTATAGTGTGTTCCAACCAAAACGAATGAAAAGATATAAATCTTTTTAAAATAGTAATCGTTTAAAACATGTTTTCAAAATCATAGTAGAACCCTCCAACTGAACAACGTTATGCAGTTCCTCAGAACTGCATCCATAAGGGCTTACCCTAAGCACACAACAAAGGGAGCCAACCTAAGGGAATGCCTTGGGGCCTATGGGCCTGCCCAAGGGTATCCTTAGGTCCGTAAGGATTTATCAGCTGATCAGGGTTGAACCTCCATACTCCATAATCCTATCCATATAAAAATCCTGTATAAATCAGTTTTAACCGTAAACCGTAATAATTGAATCGTGATCTAGTAAAATCTCGTAAACGTGACAATGAAATAAACCATATAATTGTCCTCCACATGTACACCATATATAGTCCCATGATTAACCCAAGGGAGTGCCTTGGGTCTTAAGAGCCTGCCCAAGAAAGTTTCTCGGGGCTTCAGAGCCTACCCAAGGTTCACCTTACATCCATAAGGATTTACCAGCTTGATCAAATATGAACCTTTAGCCTACCTAGATAATGTCCCAATAAAACAGTTCAAGTAATAACCAGTGAAAACAGGAAACCATAGTTCATAAATCAGTAAATTCCATGATTCCATAAATCATGAACAATTTATACTTTTCGGTGACAACCGTAACCGGAGAACACATACCATGTAGCCATGGTTTATAAGCCAGTAAATCAATAAATTTCGATAAAACGCATTTCAAAACATATAAGCGGATTTCAGGATTTTTCAGGTGTGTGTTATTTTCCTCGTTGACGCATAAATAACATCGATTTATATTTGTAGAATATTAATGTAACATCCTCCATACCGGGTTAGTGATCAAATTGTGAAATTATAAAATTCAGTGACCAAAGTAGATAAATTGAATAGTTGAAAGATTTAATGGGAATGTTTTGTGTAGGATCAATTAACAAAGAAGGAGGAACTAAAGGGGTAAAGGAGTCTTTTAATAGGGGAAATAACTAAATATTAGATGAGGATATTTAAATCCACGTGGAAGGCAAATGAAGAGAACAAAAGTTTCCAGATTTCTTTTCTTCTTCTTCTCCATCGAGAGACCAAGCTAAAGGTGAGTTTTCTTATTGATTAAATTCTTGATGAATTTAAGGTTTCTTATTGATCCTTAGTTGATAACTAAGCTTAAGGAAAGTTTAGATTATCTTAAAACCATAAGATGAGGAGAATATGAAGAATCAAATAAAGGAAATAGAAAAGTGAAATCTTGGATTAGAGTTCCTAATAAGAATTAGAAGTGGAATTTGACTTGTCATAAAGCTAACTAAGAAGTATGAGGTGTTAGAATTCAAATTAGAACATGTTGGAATTTGGGTTAGATTCTTAAATTCTACATGGAGAATTGGATTTTTAAGTTTCAAAAGTATGGAATGGATAATAATTAGTTTAAGTAAGAGTATGAAAGTTAAGGATATATAAAGAGGGGAAATATAAAGTGCTAAGTAGACTAAGAAGATATTTTCGTGTTAAAATGACAATTCTGGGCAATGTGCATCGATGCACATTTGTGCACCGATGCATCGATGATAAATCCCAGAAATTGTTTAAGGTGCATCGACGCACATGCAGTGCATCGATGCATTAATTTAAAAAGAAAACATCGAATAGGATTTATGCATCGATGCATAAGGAGTGCATCGATGCATCCCCATTAAATACAAACATCGAATAGGATTTATGTATCGATGCATGGTGTAGTGCATCGATGCATACCTCCATTAAAAGATGAAAATGGCTTTTCTTTTAGCCTAAGAAATGATAGTTTAGAATATATTAATTAGTATACTGATACGTATCAATGAATTACTATGTAGATATCGAGCCTAAACGAGTTCCGGAACCATCAACAAGTAGGATCAATCGAGGGAAAGACAAAGAAATCTAGGTGAGTGCATATGCATAGCATGAATATGTATTTTATTCAGTTCTAGACTTGTGATAAGTCTAGATTCAATATTTTGATACATGATAGTATTTCATATTATGATATATGACATGAATCCATACCATATGCATTATGGGACATGAATATGCAAGAAAAAGTTATATGAGTTATGTGATAAAGGTATGAAAATAATATTTCTACGTGATACAAATAAGATAAATTGTGAAAGCCCATGTTATTTAAATGAGAACTATAGGTATAGTTGGCATGCCAAGGGTTGAGGGTCTATGTGGCCCTTCGGGACATATATGTATTCTTTGGAACATGTGTGAGGTCTGGTGAGACACATACTTGATCCTTGGCATATGTATATGATTCTTAAGGAATGATATGTGGTCCTTCGGGACATATATGTATTCTTTAGAACATGTGTGAGGTCTAGTGAGACACATACTTGATCCTTGGCATATGTATATGATTCTTAAGAAATGATATGTGGTCCTTATGGACATTATTATATGGCACTACGGTGCAATTCTACGCGGCACTCCGGTGCAATTCTAAGTGGCACTTAGGTGCAATTATATGAGCTGTGGTGACAGCATAGTGCACAACCTCACAATACTCACATACCTTAGGTTCTCTGTATGGTACCATGGGCTAATGAACTTACTAAGGCGAACTTATGAATGTGAATTTGATAAGTATATGTGTAAGAAACATGGTTTTGGTTATTGCATTGTTTACATACATCTTATTATTGCAACCCATCTCATTTTGGCAATTACTTTATATTTATTGATATTATTATTATATTGCCTCACTAAGTCGATGACTTAGCGTGTGAGTGTTTCACACGTAGGATCCGATAAAGTAGACGATCGAGGTTAAGCAGCTGGACAACATTACTCCTGCAACTATCAGATCAGAAGCAACTTAATCAGTATGTCATTTTGTTATGGAAATGGATGTTGGCATGTAATTAAAGAGTTACGTTGTGTATGCTCTGAATATTTTGGTAAACTTATATTTATCATATGTATATTATTGTATTTTTCGTAATATAAGTTCAAGTATTTTACTATTATTTATAATGAGTTGTGTTTTAAAAGTTAATGTAATATCTCTGACTCGTATCCGGGTTGGATACGGGTTGGAGGTGTTATAATTAATATTTATGTGTGTATTTCCCCTGATTTAGAGTTAAATTAATTATTCGTATATTCACGAGTCCGTTTAGTTTAATACGAACATATTTTTCCCTGTTAGCATTTCATTAATTTTTAAAAATAATTAATAGTTGTTATGTTTGGCGATTGTGCAAAGATGTAAGCTTTAGGTAAATTCATATGCATGATTGAATTATTTATATGCAATAGAAGCATGTGGTGTTGATTGATGTTGTGTGAAATTTTAAAATGTTAAGGCATGCTAAATCTTGTGGTGGACACATTAATTTATATATGTTGAAATTTTGAAATGCATAATTATATATATTGGAGTTTTGGGATTGGGGGATTAGAGGTTTTATTATCGGAGTCATGGTTAACGGAGTCGATATTATTGGAGTATCGGGAGTTAGGGGTTGTATATTATTATCGGAGTTGTTGTTATTGGAGTTGTTGTTAATGGAATCGTTGTCATTAGAGATATTGTTATCGGAGATGCTGATATTGATAAATTGCATATGTGTTTGGATGTAGTGTGATGGTAATGTTTATTAAATGCATAATTGCTCATAGGTGACATTTATTATATTTCTTATATGTTGTCATGATTAAATTTGTATGTTTCGTTTATAAATTTTGTTGCTCATTTGAATTAGTTTTGGACCACATTGGGTTTCAGCTCATCCCGTTTTTTTCTTCCCTTTTAGATTGTTTGAGACATTAGGATCGGATCGGATCGGTATCTACATGACTAAGTCTTAATTACCAATATTTTACTCGTATGGTTTCTATCAATAATTGACAGACTGTGGGATTTGGCTTTATTTTTAATTACTTTGAAACTGCATTTAAATTATCAAACTTTTATTACTTTCAAAGTATTTGGACATCCGATATTTTAATCATAAAATATGGTTATTTTATAGTCTTAGATGCATCAGAGGACCCTAAACTTTAAAAAAAATCAATATAGCTCCTATCGTTTTTTTGGATGATTGTGGCCCTCAAACTCGATAAAAGAAACCAATCTAGCCCTTTGACAACGTTTTCCATCATTGGCCAAGATTTCGTTAATCATGCTATTATAAATTGGGTAAAATACATCATTCGTCACTCGACTATTTTCTTCTCTTCTATTTTGATCACTAAACTCTAAAAATTTTCAATTTTGAAAATTCTAGAGACTGCAGGGAATAAGGCTGCAGTTAAACCATTTTCTTTTAAACGCAAACTCACCCCTTCTCTGTAGCGGAGAAAAACTAAAGCTCAAGAATAATTTCCATTACACCTAGTCTGAGAGTGCGATGGTAAATACGAAATCAAAGTTAAAATGAAAACAGCATTGAATATATATCTTTTTCCGAAAGACAATATTGAATACTTTAAATTAAATAATTAGAGAAATTAATTATGTATGTCGTAATTTCATTGGCAAGCAAAATTAGTTATTTTAACCATAATAAATTTGTTGTAAAGGATGTTCAAATTCGATTATATGTATTAAGGGTTAATTATTTGAACCGAATTATTTTTTATTAAATTTTAATTAATTAAATAAAATAAAATTTAGAATATCTTTTAGTAAATCGTTTCATATCTAAATCAACTCCATCCATAACAACTACAATCCAAAAGCTATAATTATATTCAAATAACAATTCTTTTTTTTTATTAATCACATAGCAAAGTCAAATATGTTAAAAGTATAAAACTAATTAATATTTTAGTTGTAATCTAAATGATTCATTGATTATGCTAAACCAAAAACTAAAATATTTTATAGTACATTCATTAATTGACTAAAAATATTTTGAAGTCCGACGGATTAACTGAAAATAAATCTATTCGATGCTCAAAACCATCGAAAGTAATTATGGCGATGACGATGATCAAAACAACAACGATTACGGATGTTTTGAAGTCCGAGGTGACATAGAGTTTCTCGAGGGACAATATATTAACAATGTTAATGAAGAGACGGAGTACGATGGTGGAGAAGAAGACAACAATAACGAGATCGATTCAGACAACCTCTCGTACGAAGAGTTGATAGTTTTGGAAGAGATAATAGGAGCAGGGAAGAGAGGGGTATCAGAGGAAGAATTTTCTTCATGCTTGAGGCCATTTAAGTTTCAATCCATCTAGCTTGAAAACGGAGTTGATTGATGTGTAATTTGTCAAGTCGAATGCGTAGACAATGAAAGATTAGTTGCACTTCCTAATTGCATAAGCAAATGGCTCCGAATGAAGAAGAATTGCCCCATTTGTAGCATTGAAATTCCATCATCCAACAATGTTGTTGAGATCCTGTGTTTATTTAGCTTGTCTTCTACCTTAAATTCACTCAAAATAAAAGCTCGATCCTTCAATATTTCATTTTGAAGTCCAATCTTTTGTCCATGACACCTTCTTAAACACATACCTCACATTACCCTTAACCCTTTTTTAAAGCATAATTCACACAAACTTTAAGCATTTCCATGACGTTTCTTTCATCCAGCCTAGAGATGCCAAGCTTTTTCTAGCCCCCCAGAGTGATATAAAAGGTTTGGATTCTTACAGCAAGAAGAAGAAGAAGAAGAAGAAATGTGTAGAAAATTGAGTTTGATATTTACAGATAAGTATAATTTTAGAAAGCAGTTTGTTTATTATAATAAAATAATAGATGGCAGCCCCAACTGCATATGCTCTCTCCCCCATGAACATGCTTTGCCCTGTTCCTTACAAAATAATACAGATCCCACGAAGATCTCTCATTTCCGCCTTCACTGATAATGCCAAAACAATCACCAAAGATTACTTCGATCCATTTAATTCGATATCTTGTCGATGGGTTCCCCACATTTCATTAATCTATATTTACTTTTTTTTGTGTATGGATCCTTAGATCTACCAGTAGTAACCCGTATATTTAATTAATAAATTTGTACTACGATACAGTGGAAAGAAGGCTTCACGTGGACCTTTGATGTGCCCCCAAAGGGACAAAAACTTCACATCATTTGCAAAAGTAAAAATACTTTTGGGAAGGTAAACGAGGTTTTCCGAGTCTTGTTCTGAATGTACTACGGTTAAATTGTTGTAACCTCGATGCAGTGACATTCTCAGGTGTGCTTTGATGAACAGTTTTCCATTCGTAGTGGATGGGAAAAGTGCTAATAGTTATATTTTCATCATATCTTTGGCAAATTGTTGTCTGATTTCTGATGGAGAGGTTGGTTTTTAAGGACGACTTTAGGAAGATCAACTATTTAGATCGACAAAGACATGACGGAGGGAGTACAGTGGTTTATTCAGCCTGAATCACGATGGCAACAAAGACGGGTCTTCCAGAACACTTGAAATCGAGATAACCCGGTCCAACAGGACCGGAAACGACGAAAGCGTATAAAGGATTACAAGTTCATTTCTTTACAAGCAACCACAACGGGAATCAGGTGAGGAAATTTACGGGAGAAATACAATAGGAGTTTGGGGTTGCTTGCCTTTAAGCATATTATATATATCAAAGGTCCAGTTTTTGTAGTAAATGGTTTAAGATGCAACGTATAAGAGAAACGTTTATATAGTTGATGCGATGAGAAAGGAGAAATCTAAGAGAGGCCCCCTCAAGTGTACGGAGTATAGAAGCTGCTTAGAAGTTCCATCCTGTACAGATCAGTCTTCTAGCGAGTTAAGTCTTGTTAAAGGATGATGGCATTACAAAAATGTTATACAAACGGGTTCTTTTAGCACTAACTGCTGCTTTGTTAAATGAATTAGTATTTTATATATTAATGGTAAGAGTTTTTAATCTTTAGCTTCATTATATGTTATTCGATATACAAAGGTCGAGTATTATTGTTACTTTATATCGGATTTATAAGCATCATTATTCCTCCATTTCTGATCAACCCCTCGGACAATAGCATGTCACTCAAATATGACGAATCATGTCATTGAACTTCAATACCATTTCAACCGCAAGTTAGTTGACAAAATTGATGTGTTGTTGGAAAGTTTTACCGTACAACAACCTTAATATACGACGACTAAGAAAAGATATTACCGATTTTATTATTATTATTTTAATAAAACCGATAAAAAAAACTACCTAAAACATTATTTATTCTACCTAAAACCTAAAACATTAATATTTTTTTAACATTTTCGATAAAGAACCCAATAAAACAAAACCGATAGAAAAAATAATAAAATCGGTAACGCTTTACCGGATATGTTAACAAAACCGGTAAAACACCCAATAATAACAAAACCGATAAAAATAAATAATAATATTTCCGGTAATTTTTTACCAATTTTGTTAAAAAAATAATAACAAAACTGATAACGTCTTTTTTTAGCAATATATTATGACTGCCGGCTGCCGCACGTAAAACTTTCCTTATATCGTTACTTTGTTATGAACCCATCGAATCATCAATGAGATACCAACCCCCTGCACGTGCATGGAATTGGCTGCCATAGGTTTCGCCATACATATATATACAAGGATTGCAAGGCATTTGCAAAGAACCAACCGTTGTCTAATATTGTTTGATTTACACCAACCTCCCATCAATCAATGGAAAGAGGAAACCATCAACTACCAACCCTAACATTTCTCTGCCAACAGGAAAACAAAATATTCACTTGCATCGCTATTGATATGATGAGTGTACATGACATAGGAATCACTTTTTGACTGATTCGGGTGACTCACTAGGTTTACTTGTCTTTACCCTTAGCTTCTCTTGTCCTACTGATTTTCCAAACTGAAAATGTTCTAACTCAGTTTACTTCTACCAATCACAAGCAGGCAAGGAACAAAGCTAAAGGGACTACATCTGAAATGTCTATTGATAAATAAAGTGGAACCACAATGCTGGTGAAGTATGTAAACTTAAGAGACGCAAAAATGACTACAAATGAAAGGAATGCATGCTTTAGGAATTCACCACTCAGACTACATGCGCAAAAACACTTGGTATTTGTCAGGCCAAAACCACACAAAAAGAACATGCTGAGATCCCCAGTGGGAGAAGAAATGAGGCCAAGCTTCATGAACAGCTACTTTGCTGCAGAAACTAGAGCAGATCTAGCTTGAGTGAAAGTAGCAATGAGTGATCCCAGTTGCAATTTATCATTGCACCCATAACTCAAACGATACCTGCAAATGGTAAAACATACCGGTTGAAAGCATTAGCTACTATCATATATACATTCCACAATTCACACCCACTATACAATATCAGTTATGGTCTCAACTAGAAATACCAAAATAAAATGTGTTCGCCAATACAAACAGATATTTAATAAACATTTTTTTCATGATTTCAAAAACAAAGGCAACAGTTTTTTTTACAGGGATTGCATCCCATCCACTAGTCAATTATTCTTCAATCTAGTATCTAATATGAAAGTATGTTTATGTTGATGAGCTCATGAGCATAGTTCTTTCCATAATATGGCCCGTATTTAAAGCGTTCAACAACTTGGCCAAAAGAAATTTTTCGACAACCATCAAATAGCCCGAGTAAAATGGCTCTAAAACCTCCTTAGGGTAAGAATACTCTAAATGGAATCCCAAAGCAAGCAATTTCTGATACCAGCAATAAAATAGTCTTGAGCAATATTAGTAAATGATAGGTATTGCTTATTTAACAAATTTTCTTGTAAGTACATTATTTAACATCTCAGTATCTTGGCTTTATTTTTATCAAAGCATCAACCATTTACCAATTATTCATGTGTTGTGTTGTATTTGAGTTGAGAGAGAGACAGAGAGAGCAGGTATAAGTACTTACTCTATGTCTGCCAGGTCGTTAATTAACTGAACTCGAACATCTGAGGGCATTTTAATCTTAAAAACAAACCTGTTAAAAAACTGTAGTGAATGAATATCAACCAGAAAATTGTAAAGAGTTGCCTTTTAGAAGTTAAAAGAGACATGGAACTTACATAGTCACTTCCCTCACAATATCGATCAAGGCCAATCCTTTTCTTGTCTTCATTTTAGAAACTCCTACAGAGAGTTAATCACAGAATAAAGATTTGGTGTTAAAAAGCAGATCTAAAGATGACAATTTTATGAACTGCATAACAAACAGAAAGATTGAGATAAGCACGTGTGAAACTCTCAGCAAATGATTCATTCAGAAGCCAGTAAGATATTTGCTCAATGTCTTTAGGCAATGGATTTCCAGTACAGAGATACACCGCTTCTTCTGTAATCTTCTGAGAAGCCATGTGTGTGGACTGCATATAGCAAAGAAATTATTAACAATAGCACTCTTACACATTCATGAATAACACTAACTACTTTAGAAGTAATAGGCATCATACTCCAAAATCCCCCTCAGTATGGAAAATAAAGTACATTTATTCATGCACTTGAGCATTCAAGTCAGAGAGAAGTGTATAATTCCCTAGCTTGACAGCCAGGTTTAAATCCCCTTCCCCAAGTGAGAAAAAAATGTATCCTATTCATTAAACAAGTGTTGACATCACCTAAAACAGCACTCATGTAACCCTACACATCAACCACAAATTAGACGAGGCTACACTACTCCTCCAAAGAATAATGAGATCATACAGTAATGTAAAATGACTTCTGCTACAAAGCAAAGAACAGATCGATGCCAACCTGTCATTTGTCTTTCTTAAACAAGTGAGTGGCCATTATCGTACACCAATTTATGCAAAAGCAATTTTTGAGTAAGTGGTTTAGATACCTGCAAAATGTTTAAAGCCTTTCTCATGTCACCATTGCTAAGCCGTACTAGTGCTGCCAAGCCACTCTCAGTTACATCAAGCCTGGTCCAATGAAGCAAAAATTGCAATTGTAGTCGGGTGAAAGATTCAAAGATAAGATCTAAAGAACAAAAGGTAAATCCATATGAGACATGCTAAGGAACAGATTTTCACTTTCTAACAACTCTAACACAAGTCCAAAATGGCTTGATAAAGCTACACCTTAAAACATTCAATCTATGCTGGTTCCAAGCTTGAGCCAAGCTTGAGCCAAGCCTGAAAAGGCAAGCTCTAGCTTAACTAGTGGCAAAAATGAAAAATAGCAGTTCTAGCTCAATTTGGAGCAGGACAATAATTGGAAACTTGAAATTATGATCAGTTGGAAACTACAAAAAGCAGGAAAAAGTCATTTA